CCTTGAAGCGAGCGCGAAAAAGTCAATTGGTTTACACTAGCTTGTAAAAAGATATTGGATATTGGACAGAAGGAGCTCAGTTTTATTAGAATGAATCCAGAACCCACTCAACTTCAAGTCTTACATTCCCACAGAGAATGCTTTGAAATGTATGGTTTTGTTTAGACGTTTGGATGAAGAGTTACAAGTCGTTCAGCGGTTGGTATGTTCCATAGTTGTCTACACAGGGGTTGTGTATTTTTAATCTTTGGGTATTTCCATAAGGTAGAGATGAAGGAGTCACTCAGGATTTTAATCCAAATAACAAGCATATTATTTAATAATCGGATAAAAAATAAAGTGATCAAGATGGATTAGACGAATCAAGTACTCAGTGACACTCAACATGGCTTCGAAAGAGTAGGTCCTGTGTCTCCAACCTCCTGACTGCCCATGATCACTGGAAGGCATGCTGGGATCTCAAGGTCTCGGTCCACGCGATTCTTATGGATTTTACCAAAGCGTCTTATACCGTCTCACACACCATCCTAATATACAAAATAGCTGGGTTAGGTATCCTCAGTCGTGTGCTATCGTGGCTGCAGAACTACTTAGACAGTAGGGAGTTCTGCACAAGAGTCAACAGGGTCCACTCATTTTGGGGAACATCATCGTCCGGTGTCTCACAAGGAGCAATCCTGGCTCCATTGTTGTTCCTACTGTTCGTGAATGACCTCCCGCTGCATATCAGCTCTCCAATTCTCCTCTACGCTGATGACACCAAGTTATGGAGGGCAGTAACTTGTGAAGCGGAATCGTTTGCATTACAGAACGACCTCAAAACACTGGAGGAATGAGCAGCAAATAACGAACTGGGATTTAATCTGGATAAGTGCTGGTCCATGTTTTTCCGCACTCCTGATCTCTAGAAAGTACCCTACTCTCTCTGTGGTTTACGTCTATCCCATACCACAGCAGAAAAAGACATGAGTTTAACGGTGATGGAGAAACTGGACACCAGTTCCAATTAACCAGGTGACGCCTTAAAAGCATACAGTGTACTACACTTCGTGCGCAGACAACTAGGTGCCCTCATCCCAGAGCTTTTTCTTAATCTCTACAAGACTTGCATGCTACCTCACTTGAAGGTCTATAATGTCTTCGCTCCACCACAACTGAAAAGAGGCATGAACCTACTGGAGAAAGTCCAGAGGTGAGCCACAAAAGGGGTTGTTGGGATACAACGAAAACCATATGAGGATAGACTGAAAGACATAGACCTATACTCTCTTAGCTACCGAAGGTTACGAGGTGACTTGGTAATGGCTTAGAAAATACTGAGCAACTCAGGTCAGCCGAACAGAGGATTACTACCAAGAGGCCACTATAGTGATCCTTCTGGAAATCCTTAGAGAATTGCCCACCAAGGGTCAAAAACTCATATGCCTCCACACTTTCTTCCCTACGAGTCTGCGGGCACTGAAGCGCATTACCAGCAGAGGTAGTCTTCGCCCCATCTGTTGAAAGCTTCAAGAAAAGGCTAGACAGTCACACAGAGACCTACGGTCTACCCACATAACTGGAACACTAACTAAATAGAAGAAATCAACTGGTGTCACGCCATTCCAACTATTTTACCTCTACATCAGTTCTCTTTCAACTATAACCATTTAAGCCCTTTCCGTCCCTTCCACTTGCCATGAGTTAGCCTTACCTATCTGAGTTCTTCATATCTTTGCACCCCTTTTCGCCTTACTTGGGTGTAAGTAGGTTACTCCATTAGATCACTTTTCTCTCCTCTTTTGCACACAGATTTTTCTTTCTGGGTTTTCTCTCCACTGTCTCTAACTCCCTAACGACCAGTCCGAACAACCATCAGGCAATTCGACATCCGAAGAAGCGAACTGTACCACAGTCCCAGGTGAACTAACCAACACAACCTCCTGTTCTGAAAAGCCAGAGTTAGAACTGACGAGTGGCTGGATCTACTGCATCGGAGTTTACCGAAGACCTGGAACCGTTTCGCAAGAAGCGAGCAAGAAGAAATCAACTGGTTTACACATGCTCGTTAACAGGTATAAGATATTGGATACATAAGTATCAGATTCAGAAGTATGTGTAAGACTGCAGTTTTTTCGCTGCTGTTTCTCCACAATTTTCTGAGTTGTCTTTCGACCTCGTCCTCTTCTGATCTTTGGAAGTTTGTTTTTCAGGTAACCAAGCGTTGAGGGTCAAAATTCTTGCTGGTACATTGCTTAATATAAGAGTAAAACGTGGGCACTGTGGTCAATTATAATTCCATTTTAGTCTGTTTATTAGAAATATCACACAGTGAAACAGTAGCATTTACTGGATAACGTTTCAGACACAATTTATTGTCTATATTCATTCATTGCATGACGTTTCAGGAAATCCTGAGGAATCGCGATTTCCCCTTGATAGTTTTGAAATTGTCATCGTGAGCTTAATAGTGAATTTTACCGTACAACTCATATCAAAGGTGTCTGCCATCTCTTTAGTGGAGTCATCCTGAAAAGAATTGAGTACGTGCAATTAACTTTGCCATTTGAACATTCATTACTAAATTGACTCTGACTATAACTCATGGATGCAGACGAGAATGGATAAACACTAAATTGCGAGGAAAATGTTCACTTTTTACCCTTACGCAATACTCATCATTCCATTAATGGCTGACAAATGACTGGCAATTTTTTACTTGCATGAGTCATATTTTTACCCTCCTACAGGTTCTGGTACATAGGCCTACCTATTGGCCAATGGTTGACACTTGGTATGTTTCTTGACCTGAAGGTGGTGTTTGCCCCTGTCAACTGTGACGTTTGGTGGCGGCGTCTGACTGTAAAGGGGGTAGGGAGCAAGTATGTAACACTAAAGAAAACTGTCTACCTGAACTCAATCGTGTGAAGGCTTATGGATAGCTATCATCAGAATTGACAACAACTGGTTGTGTCCACCAGGGATGTCCACTGTTCTCGTTCCTATTTAACTTCTTCATAGACGTACTGATCGACATAATCTTAGGTACGTCTGACTTCACAAGGATTGACGGCATGCGTTTCACACCTGTCAAATGTAAGATGATGCTCAGGGACTGGTCTGCTGTAAGTACTGCTAGTTTAATGATGGAAAGTGGTGGTGAAATGTGTCGACCACCCCACTTACTTGGGGAGTCTCACCAGCCCGAACGGCTTGGTTGCCGACGCAATCCCCGCTGGGATACAGAAGACCCGTTTGGTATTTGCCAACTTGCGTGATCTGTGGCGCCGACCGGCGAGATATCTGACTATATGTCGAAGAACGAGTTAACTGCGCTGTGGTCTTCTCTGTCCTATTGTACAGTGGTGAGTTATGGCCGTTAAAAGTAGAAAACTTGAAGCAACTACAGAGTTTTGATCACAGATGTCTTCGTGGCATTACTCGCGTTTGGTGGAATTGCCGTGTGAGCAATGTTAAAGTCAGGCGAAGAGTACTAGAAAAGTCGATTGATAAGGTTGTGAACCTTAGTCAACTGAGATGGCTTGGGCATATACTGCGCATGCCCAGTCACAATTTACCCCGACGCGCCATGCTATGGGAAGCTGAGTTAAGTTGAAAGAGGGTTGATGGTGGCCTGGTGAAGATGTGGCATCAGTTGAAGTCTTTGACTGTTGGTCTGAATTGTGTTTAGAGATGCAGACTGCCTAGTTGGGGTCCCCGAGACGAAAGGAATTGGTGGTTGAGGACTGATTGTTAGTGGCGTAACTAAAAATCGGTCACTGGCGCAGATCTATCGTTGACATCTTAAGCTTGAACATTCTCACTAACTTTTATCTTCAAACTGTTTATTTTCTAACCCAACCTTATTCACTTTAATATCACTGTGAAGTGTGGTAACTTGAGCCGATGTACCTGTGTGCGAAGCTCTGCGTTGATTTTATCAGTCAGTCACTTGTTAAGTGCAGAAGTGACATAGCTGTTGCTGCTTCTGAATGATTACTATGACAGCGCAACTTTTTGACTCCACCAATGTACTTATTCCCTATGTCTTTGTTGTTTGCTCTCTTTTCCTTTCGTATGACCATTGTATTCTCTTATATTTTTCTCTTGTAATATTGTCGAGGTAATTAATTCTGGATTTCCTTGTCGAGTCACTGGACAGACTGGAGAAAGACGATTGGATTCTTTTCAAAAGTTACTAAGCTACCGCATTTCATAAGAAATACGCCCAAGCATTCGCTTCTCTCAGAGTTAGACCTGAAACGAAGGTCTACTACAATGTGGACAGCTGGGTAGTATCAGGAGACCCCATAACCAGTACCGGGTTTTCCTGCATTATAACGTTACTAGACAAAGGACTTTGTGTTCACTGAAGTGGGGATATGCAGTATTAAGAGTTGTGCATTGGTAGTACGATGGAAGCTTTGAAAGCCAAGTTTTTCTCAGAAAGGTATCCTGGTTCAGTTTTCCGTACCCAAGAAAATTGGAGGGGATTGCGATTCACAAGAAGAGAATCGTAGGTAATCAACGGTAAGATGTATATTTTGCGGGAGAAATATCACCATCCGGATCTCAAGACAAAATCGTAGGTTGTATCGTTTGGTCCATATTATCACTTGAACTCCATACAGGTAACCACTTCATGTAATTCAAACTAGTAGTCATTTACTCCATAGATTACGTGGTGATTTGATGGTCGTTAGCTCTACTTCAGTGTCGTCCCAGCTGCCTTTATGTTGGATACTAAATGGATTCATTCCTCGTGCATACAATTAGTCGCTAATATATGCATTTAGGTTTTGCTAGTGTTCCTTGTTTTGTAATTTTTACTTCTATTGGTATTTATTTATTGCGTACATTGTAAACTATATCAACTAGAACTGGTTCATATATGTCGTCTTGTATTCTTTTTCGTGTCAACTTCCTGTTAATCTGATATGGTATTTTTCTAGGTAACGTGTTTTCAATCTTGATTCTACCCCGTTGGTATCATTACTTCGCTCCCCTATTATAGTTACTCAATGTCTTTACCTGCATTTGGAGAATTTGAAGACTTACCATCTTGTTCAACGCTTATCCACATAGAAAGGCTATCAGGTTTGTAGATATTTTTTCGTCGATTTCTTTCAATCCAGTTATTGATCAAGACAAGGTTAATTCCGATGGCGATTCACCACGTATATCGGACATCATTTGCAAGGAGGTGTATTTATCGGGTTTGAACGATAGCAATGAAATAGTTCCCTCAGATTCCAGACACCTGTCCACGAAAATGTTACCAGGTAAACTTCCGTTAGTTTTGAGCATAGCGTTGTCTAACTGTTAAGGATGAAATCGTTTGTAACTGTTCAGTTTTTAAGGTAAAACTATTATATATGCAATCCCAATTGAAGTGACGATTTTTTGTGACACAGTTTTTCTAACCTTTCTAGAAAACCGTATCCTTGACTGAAACCTGTTTTTCTTCGATCAGTGTTCGGTGATCGCAAAAGTAATGTTGTATATGATCCTTACGTTGCTTGCAGTTCCTACTCAACATTAAGACCTAGAACTTGACTCGCTAGTCAACCTAGTTTCCAAATGACACTTCCGTTAGGTGAATAAGTAGGGGATATTAGTTGCTGAGGGCACTCGGTAAGCGTTTCAAACTGTTTGTAATTCGTATCTCAAGTGTCTGACTGCGAATCATCGCCTGTGCACTGATGATTAATCATAACGGTGTGTGCCAACAAGGAATAGAATGGGTGACGCTGTTTACAACCTAACCTCCGGCGACGTCCCGTCACCGAACACAGCTTCCCGGTTCATTGAATGTAGTCAGTTCGGCCATCGATTGTTATGCTGCTGCAGACTAGAGATGGTTCTGGTGATCGCGCCGGTGATTGTCGTTTGTGGTTGATTAGCGGTGGGGGCGTTGTTGTGTGTAGCGGAGTGTTTGTGTACGAATCGGTGAGCAGCTGGTCAGCGATGTTGCTATCGATTCCTTGTTGTTCATTCGGTACTGATTGAAGTTTACCGATGAAGTTTTCAGTGTGTGTTTATTTGGCTGAGCTGATTGTCTTGAGTGTTTTGAGTAGTTGTTGGTTGTGGGAGATGAGTGTTGTTTGTTTTTGTGATGTTGTTGTGTTTTGTTGGTACATTCTAATAATGAAGGGCCATGTGTGTTTTGATTTGCAGAGGTGTCGATGGATTCGGGTGATGGTGTTGTTCGTGTAAGTTGTTTTGTTTTGTGGTAGTTTTTTTAAATTATTTATTGTGTTTGCTTGGAGTTGGTTGTTTTGTGTTTTATTTTGTTGATGAGATGATGTAGGCGTACATGTTGTTGGTGTTGTTTATTGTAGGAGTTGACATGGAGAAGACGGCGACGAAAGTTAGCGAGTGAGCGTAAGACGGCGATTGAAGGTGAGTATGGCATTGGCTTTGTGTGTATTTGTAGGTCGTTCGAAGTTGGTGTTTGTGTATGTGTGTGTGTGTGTGTGTGTGGTGTGTTTGTGTGTTATGATGTGTGAAGGATGGTTGTTTTGCGCTGTTGGGGTTTTTGGGTGGTGTTGTGGTTGTGGGTGAGATGAGTGTGACGGTGATGTTCTCGTTAGTGGTGTGATGGTCGGTTAACGGTTTTTGTTGTGATTGGCTTTACTTTTGTAGGTTCGGTGTCTCCATCGAAGCTGGGTGGGTCTGTGCTTGTGGAGTCTGGAGCTGAGAGAGGTAAGGTTGACGTTGTTTTTCAATGTTTAGGTGGACACGATTTTTTGGGAATGAGTTTTGAGTAATGTAATGTAATATAATGGTACTGATGACTGGTTGAATTTTTTTCCAGAGTCTTCTATTACGGATGTGGTCGGGGCTGTTGAGATTGTGTCAGATGTGGCTGAATCGAATGGTGTCTGCACGTCGACAGTGGTCGCTTCGAAGATGGTGGATCGTGATAAAGAAGGTTAGTGTATTTGTGTCCATCTGGACGTGTATGTGTGTGCATGCTGGATTGAGTGTGTGATGTGTGAAGCTGTAGATGATGGTGTGTGCCTGTGTGAGGATGGAGATGGTGACCGTTCCGTTAGTTGTTTTTTGACTGAGTTGATTGCGATATGATGTGAGTTGAGCTTGCAGGTATTTATTTCAATGTCCGAGAGTGTGCAGCATACATGGTAATCTTGTCGTTGGGTGTGATTTGTCTTTAGGTGGACCGATTGTGTGAGGTTGTATTCGCTTGTGGTTGTGATATTGACGGAGATGGGATTGTGGTTGTGCACCTACGTGTATTGCAGTCATTGTGGTGTGGACGTTGGATAGTGATAGTGATATTGGTGGTGGTAGTGATGGTGATGTTGTTATTGATGATTGTGATCTGATCAGTGATGTTTTGTAGTTAGTGATGGGAGGTGGTGATGAAGTGATTTTTCTGTTGAGTGTTTGTGAGTTGATTTGGTGAGGAGTTGAGTATTAATGGTTGTGGTGTATTGACGATGGTGGGGCATGAGTGTGATGTGGTTTTGTGTGTGTTATTGTTTGTTGGGTTGTTTATGGAGATGTGATGAGTGTTTTGTAGGTTGTGTGAACTATGATTTTGTTAGTTTTGAGGTGTGTGTGTGAAGGCATAGGTGTGGTGTGCTTGTTAACTGTTGTCCACTAGGGAGTTGATTGAGTGAGTTCATTGGATGTTAGTGTGAGTTTTCATGTTGACTGTAGGTTGATGATTGATTCTGGTGATGGAGATGTTTGTGTATTTAGGATAATTGGTTGGTTGTTACAGTGTTGCGTCTGTATTGTTTGGACTGCATGTGGTGGAATGTCGCGTGTATGAGGTTTCAGTAAGGACTTTGGTGAGTGTGTTGTTTTTGAAGGTTATTTTGTTGTGTGTTGTGTGTCGTGTGTTGTTGTTGTTGTTGTTGGTGGTGGTGGTGATGTTGGTGGTGGTGCTTATACTGCTGATGACTGATTGTTGATTTGACAGGCGGGATGTGTTTTTTCAGGCGTAGGGATCACATGGTGTGTGATTAGGTAAGCGTGCTGTGGATGAGACTGTAGAGACAGTGTGTAACGTTAACCGATTGATTTGGTTATGTTATGGTAGTTGTGAATTCAGGAGATGAGGGAGTTGGACCGTCCTCACCGGTCGGTGACTGGACTGGATTTAGATGTGGTTGATGGATTTTGCCTCGATTGAGTGAGTGAATGGCATAGGTGAGAGGATGACTGTGTTTGTTGTTGATGTAGACAGTCATGAGGGACACGAGGAGATAGATGAGATGTGTTTAACTAGTTGAGTTGTAGATTGGTGTTGTGGTGGAGACTAGAGATGGTTGTGTTGATTGTGATTGTGATTGTGATTGTGATTGTGGTTTGGGGTTGTTTGGGGGTGGGGGCGTTGTTGTGTGTAGCGGAGTGTTTGTGTACGAATCGGTGAGCAGCTGGTCAGCGATGTTGCTATCGATTCCTTGTTGTTCATTCGGTACTGATTGAAGTTTACCGATGAAGTTTTCAGTGTGTGTTTATTTGGCTGAGCTGATTGTCTTGAGTGTTTTGAGTAGTTGTTGGTTGTGGGAGATGAGTGTTGTTTGTTTTTGTGATGTTGTTGTGTTTTGTTGGTACATTCTAATAATGAAGGGCCATGTGTGTTTTGATTTGCAGAGGTGTCGATGGATTCGGGTGATGGTGTTGTTCGTGTAAGTTGTTTTGTTTTGTGGTAGTTTTTTTAAATTATTTATTGTGTTTGCTTGGAGTTGGTTGTTTTGTGTTTTATTTTGTTGATGAGATGATGTAGGCGTACATGTTGTTGGTGTTGTTTATTGTAGGAGTTGACATGGAGAAGACGGCGACGAAAGTTAGCGAGTGAGCGTAAGACGGCGATTGAAGGTGAGTGTGCCATTGGCTTTGTGTGTATTTGTAGGTTGTTCGAAGTTGGTGTTTGTGTATGTGTGTGTGTGTGTGTGTGTGGTGGGGTGTGTTTGTGTGTTATGATGTGTGAAGGATGGTTGTTTTGCGCTGTTGGGGTTTTTGGGTGGTGTTGTGGTTGTGGGTGAGATGAGTGTGACGGTGATGTTCTCGTTAGTGGTGTGATGGTCGGTTAACGGTTTTTGTTGTGATTGGCTTTACTTTTGTAGGTTCGGTGTCTCCATCGAAGCTGGGTGGGTCTGTGCTTGTGGAGTCTGGAGCTGAGAGAGGTAAGGTTGACGTTGTTTTTCAATGTTTAGGTGGACACGATTTTTTGGGAATGAGTTTTGAGTAATGTAATGTAATATAATGGTACTGATGACTGGTTGAATTTTTTTCCAGAGTCTTCTATTACGGATGTGGTCGGGGCTGTTGAGATTGTGTCAGATGTGGCTGAATCGAATGGTGTCTGCACGTCGACAGTGGTCGCTTCGAAGATGGTGGATCGTGATAAAGAAGGTTAGTGTATTTGTGTCCATCTGGACGTGTATGTGTGTGCATGCTGGATTGAGTGTGTGATGTGTGAAGCTGTAGATGATGGTGTGTGCCTGTGTGAGGATGGAGATGGTGACCGTTCCGTTAGTTGTTTTTGACTGAGTTGATTGCGATATGATGTGAGTTGAGCTTGCAGGTATTTATTTCAATGTCCGAGAGTGTGCAGCATACATGGTAATCTTGTCGTTGGGTGTGATTTGTCTTTAGGTGGACCGATTGTGTGAGGTTGTATTCGCTTGTGGTTGTGATATTGACGGAGATGGGATTGTGGTTGTGCACCTACGTGTATTGCAGTCATTGTGGTGTGGACGTTGGATAGTGATAGTGATATTGGTGGTGGTAGTGATGGTGATGTTGTTATTGATGATTGTGATCTGATCAGTGATGTTTTGTAGTTAGTGATGGGAGGTGGTGATGAAGTGATTTTTCTGTTGAGTGTTTGTGAGTTGATTTGGTGAGGAGTTGAGTATTAATGGTTGTGGTGTATTGACGATGGTGGGGCATGAGTGTGATGTGGTTTTGTGTGTGTTATTGTTTGTTGGGTTGTTTATGGAGATGTGATGAGTGTTTTGTAGGTTGTGTGAACTATGATTTTGTTAGTTTTGAGGTGTGTGTGTGAAGGCATAGGTGTGGTGTGCTTGTTAACTGTTGTCCACTAGGGAGTTGATTGAGTGAGTTCATTGGATGTTAGTGTGAGTTTTCATGTTGACTGTAGGTTGATGATTGATTCTGGTGATGGAGATGTTTGTGTATTTAGGATAATTGGTTGGTTGTTACAGTGTTGCGTCTGTATTGTTTGGACTGCATGTGGTGGAATGTCGCGTGTATGAGGTTTCAGTAAGGACTTTGGTGAGTGTGTTGTTTTTGAAGGTTATTTTGTTGTGTGTTGTGTGTCGTGTGTTGTTGTTGTTGTTGTTGGTGGTGGTGGTGATGTTGGTGGTGGTGCTTATACTGCTGATGACTGATTGTTGATTTGACAGGCGGGATGTGTTTTTCAGGCGTAGGGATCACATGGTGTGTGATTAGGTAAGCGTGCTGTGGATGAGACTGTAGAGACAGTGTGTAACGTTAACCGATTGATTTGGTTATGTTATGGTAGTTGTGAATTCAGGAGATGAGGGAGTTGGACCGTCCTCACCGGTCGGTGACTGGACTGGATTTAGATGTGGTTGATGGATTTTGCCTCGATTGAGTGAGTGAATGGCATAGGTGAGAGGATGACTGTGTTTGTTGTTGATGTAGACAGTCATGAGGGACACGAGGAGATAGATGAGATGTGTTTAACTAGTTGAGTTGTAGATTGGTGTTGTGGTGGAGACTAGAGATGGTTGTGTTGATTGTGATTGTGATTGTGATTGTGATTGTGGTTTGGGGTTGTTTGGGGGTGGGGGCGTTGTTGTGTGTAGCGGAGTGTTTGTGTACGAATCGGTGAGCAGCTGGTCAGCGATGTTGCTATCGATTCCTTGTTGTTCATTCGGTACTGATTGAAGTTTACCGATGAAGTTTTCAGTGTGTGTTTATTTGGCTGAGCTGATTGTCTTGAGTGTTTTGAGTAGTTGTTGGTTGTGGGAGATGAGTGTTGTTTGTTTTTGTGATGTTGTTGTGTTTTGTTGGTACATTCTAATAATGAAGGGCCATGTGTGTTTTGATTTGCAGAGGTGTCGATGGATTCGGGTGATGGTGTTGTTCGTGTAAGTTGTTTTGTTTTGTGGTAGTTTTTTTAAATTATTTATTGTGTTTGCTTGGAGTTGGTTGTTTTGTGTTTTATTTTGTTGATGAGATGATGTAGGCGTACATGTTGTTGGTGTTGTTTATTGTAGGAGTTGACATGGAGAAGACGGCGACGAAAGTTAGCGAGTGAGCGTAAGACGGCGATTGAAGGTGAGTGTGCCATTGGCTTTGTGTGTATTTGTAGGTTGTTCGAAGTTGGTGTTTGTGTATGTGTGTGTGTGTGTGTGTGTGGTGGGGTGTGTTTGTGTGTTATGATGTGTGAAGGATGGTTGTTTTGCGCTGTTGGGGTTTTTGGGTGGTGTTGTGGTTGTGGGTGAGATGAGTGTGACGGTGATGTTCTCGTTAGTGGTGTGATGGTCGGTTAACGGTTTTTGTTGTGATTGGCTTTACTTTTGTAGGTTCGGTGTCTCCATCGAAGCTGGGTGGGTCTGTGCTTGTGGAGTCTGGAGCTGAGAGAGGTAAGGTTGACGTTGTTTTTCAATGTTTAGGTGGACACGATTTTTTGGGAATGAGTTTTGAGTAATGTAATGTAATATAATGGTACTGATGACTGGTTGAATTTTTTTCCAGAGTCTTCTATTACGGATGTGGTCGGGGCTGTTGAGATTGTGTCAGATGTGGCTGAATCGAATGGTGTCTGCACGTCGACAGTGGTCGCTTCGAAGATGGTGGATCGTGATAAAGAAGGTTAGTGTATTTGTGTCCATCTGGACGTGTATGTGTGTGCATGCTGGATTGAGTGTGTGATGTGTGAAGCTGTAGATGATGGTGTGTGCCTGTGTGAGGATGGAGATGGTGACCGTTCCGTTAGTTGTTTTTTGACTGAGTTGATTGCGATATGATGTGAGTTGAGCTTGCAGGTATTTATTTCAATGTCCGAGAGTGTGCAGCATACATGGTAATCTTGTCGTTGGGTGTGATTTGTCTTTAGGTGGACCGATTGTGTGAGGTTGTATTCGCTTGTGGTTGTGATATTGACGGAGATGGGATTGTGGTTGTGCACCTACGTGTATTGCAGTCATTGTGGTGTGGACGTTGGATAGTGATAGTGATATTGGTGGTGGTAGTGATGGTGATGTTGTTATTGATGATTGTGATCTGATCAGTGATGTTTTGTAGTTAGTGATGGGAGGTGGTGATGAAGTGATTTTTCTGTTGAGTGTTTGTGAGTTGATTTGGTGAGGAGTTGAGTATTAATGGTTGTGGTGTATTGACGATGGTGGGGCATGAGTGTGATGTGGTTTTGTGTGTGTTATTGTTTGTTGGGTTGTTTATGGAGATGTGATGAGTGTTTTGTAGGTTGTGTGAACTATGATTTTGTTAGTTTTGAGGTGTGTGTGTGAAGGCATAGGTGTGGTGTGCTTGTTAACTGTTGTCCACTAGGGAGTTGATTGAGTGAGTTCATTGGATGTTAGTGTGAGTTTTCATGTTGACTGTAGGTTGATGATTGATTCTGGTGATGGAGATGTTTGTGTATTTAGGATAATTGGTTGGTTGTTACAGTGTTGCGTCTGTATTGTTTGGACTGCATGTGGTGGAATGTCGCGTGTATGAGGTTTCAGTAAGGACTTTGGTGAGTGTGTTGTTTTTGAAGGTTATTTTGTTGTGTGTTGTGTGTCGTGTGTTGTTGTTGTTGTTGTTGGTGGTGGTGGTGATGTTGGTGGTGGTGCTTATACTGCTGATGACTGATTGTTGATTTGACAGGCGGGATGTGTTTTTTCAGGCGTAGGGATCACATGGTGTGTGATTAGGTAAGCGTGCTGTGGATGAGACTGTAGAGACAGTGTGTAACGTTAACCGATTGATTTGGTTATGTTATGGTAGTTGTGAATTCAGGAGATGAGGGAGTTGGACCGTCCTCACCGGTCGGTGACTGGACTGGATTTAGATGTGGTTGATGGATTTTGCCTCGATTGAGTGAGTGAATGGCATAGGTGAGAGGATGACTGTGTTTGTTGTTGATGTAGACAGTCATGAGGGACACGAGGAGATAGATGAGATGTGTTTAACTAGTTGAGTTGTAGATTGGTGTTGTGGTGGAGACTAGAGATGGTTGTGTTGATTGTGATTGTGATTGTGATTGTGATTGTGGTTTGGGGTTGTTTGGGGGTGGGGGCGTTGTTGTGTGTAGCGGAGTGTTTGTGTACGAATCGGTGAGGCAGCTGGTCAGCGATGTTGCTATCGATTCCTTGTTGTTCATTCGGTACTGATTGAAGTTTACCGATGAAGTTTTCAGTG